GCACCTGTCTCTCCCACGAAATATTTTTTACTGCATATATGTCGATGATGTGCAGATTGGTTACAAATCTTGCAACATCTCAATGTGCCAACGTCAAGTTCAACTAGGGTTGAACAAGGTATCTCAATGGGCAAACGAGAATGGTTTTATACTCAACGCGCAAAAGAGCACTTGTGTCTTGTTCAGCCGAAAGAGGGGCCTTCATCCTGACCCCGACATTGACCTGCATGGTCAACCTCTGTCAGTAAAGACCGAGCACAAGTTTCTCGGTCTCATATTAGACACTAAGCTAACTTTCATCCCACACATCAAGTATTTAAGAGACAGGTGCTTAAAAACAATGAACATTTTGAAAGTGTTGTCACACACTACATGGGGAAGTGACAGGAAATGTTTAATTAACTTATATAAAAGCCTCGTACGCACACGCCTAGATTACGGTGCTATAGTCTACCAGTCGGCAACACCATCAGCCTTGAAAATTCTCGACCCTGTCCACCATCTAGGCATTCGCCTCTCTACGGGTGCTTTCCGCACTAGCCCTGTGGAGAGCCTGTACGTGGATTCGAATGAATGGTCGCTCCACCTACAAAGATGTTCCCTGTCCTTTTTGTACTTTTTGAAGGTGAAGGCAGACAAGAAACATCCTTCCCATTTCACAATTAATGATTTGTCTTGTTCTGGCTTGTTCGAGAACCGACCTTCGTTTAGGCAGCCCTACGCGCTGCGTGTAAGGAGCTTGGCCGAAGGAACAGGTGTGCCTCTTCTTGAACCCAGTTTGATGGCTCCTGCAACATATCTGCCACCGTGGCAGTGGCAGCTTATAGACTGTGATGTTTCTTTTGTTGATGTCACAAAGCACGCACCACTTGCACACATACATACATACTTTTTAGAACTACAACATAAATACACATGCCCTGAGTTCTTTACTGATGCGTCAAAGTCAAACACTTCTGTGTCATATGCAGCAATAGGCCAATCCTTTTCTGAGGCCGGCGTTCTTCATCCCAATGCAAGCATTTTCACAGGAGAAGCTTACGCAATACTGGCGGTCGTAAAACACATTAAACAGATAAAATTACAAAAGGCGGTAATATACACAGATTCCCTAAGCGTGGTCAAAGCCCTGAAAACTCCTAAAAAACACAAGAACCCCGTGCTGGTGTCACTCTACTCACTTCTGTGCACACTCTACGCATCAAAACAGCATGTCGTTGTCTGCTGGGTTCCAGGTCACCGTGAAATACAAGGGAACGTTTTGGCCGATAATCTGGCTGCTTGCGCCAATGTCACTACTGCCATTGCACCAACACCAGTCCCTGCACTTGACTTAAAACCTTTTATAAAACGAAAGCTCAGGGAGTATTGGCAGAGCATGTGGGATAAACAAACAGATAATAAACTCCATGCTATTAAGCCGCAACTAGGTTATTGGCCGCCACTATCAAAATCACGACACACGGAAGTAATACTAACAAGGCTTAGGACTGGACACACACATTCTACACATTCATTTCTTCTGTCCACCGGTGATCCACCATATTGTGAGAGATGTGGAGAGCCCCTTACGGTTCTCCACATTCTCGTCCAGTGCAATGAGCTAGATGCTGTAAGAAAAAAGCACTTTTTACTGCCCTACCGACAGCAGCTCCCTCTACACCCTGGGATGCTCATCGGTAGGGATCCGCTTTTTAAACTACAAACACTTTTTACATTTTTAAAAGAAGTGCAAAGCTTTCACCCGATATTTCGAGGTCATCCGTAGCCTGACCTCCATGGAGTGGTCGTGGCTGCGGTGACTATATCTTCATCATGGTTTTATTATCATGACATTTTGCCATCAGCTATCACCACACATATGTCACGCCACTGTCATGATTTTATTACTTTCATGTTTTAGCCCGCCTTAGAGCGAGGAATTTTAAGGCCCCTTTACAGCCACGCACCATATCATTGTTCATATCTGTAGTCAATTGAAATGGCGCTCTTTGGCCATCAATTGGCCCTTGCGCCACGAAAAACTACTCATCATCATCAAGTTTGTCGTTTTTGTCCCACCTATTTTTGATGCTTACTCTCTCGTACGACGAGAGCCAGTCCTCGACGTCCTGCTCATCAGTGCCGCTGAAGATGACTCGCTCTCTCGGGACACCGGGACTGCAGGCAGGTAGGGATGTAAGAATGGTCTGCTGTGCAACGTCAGTGGACATCGTTGACGGCAAAGGTAGAGTTCGGTTGCGGAGTTCCAGGATGGGAAATGGATCCAGCACCTCCACCACTTGTTAGTACGTCTTTAGCAGTGAGCCAAAGGCACTTTTATTGAGGGAAATGCAGAGGTAAAGCTGACCAGCTGTCAAGAGGAATGAGCGCAAGCAGCAACAACACTCTTGCTTCTCTTTTTTCACTGGCGCTCCTGCCTGTCCCAGATATCAATGCTAAAATTTTATATTTTGTGCACATTCTACCCAGTAGCCCAAAAGTGCACCTCGTTTTTAAATAACTGCATAGATTAAAAGGAAAAAAAATATTGAACTTATTTTGTACAGAGGGACCAATTTCGTCATTTTCGAAAGTTAACGGTGATATAAAAATACAAATATTAGATTCATGTGAGGAAGATGATTTCTTTTCTAGTAAATGTACCCGTAATGAAGAGTGAATCAGCATTGTTCGAAGTTTGTATTGTTATGTTCCATTTCTCAAGTTTTGTTATCGCCCCAAAACACTACACGATTCTCAGCACAAAATGCGCGTGCAGTTTTCGAGAAGCTTCCGGACTTCAGTAGATCATTTCGATAAGATCATGCCCACTCTGCAAACTGTACAGGTTATTCTGGAACCTATGCCACCGCCAGCGATAACGCTAGAACATTCGATGGCAAAAGTATAAATGCCGACGCACTTCACCGCTTGTGAGTAGTTGCTCGACGGCCGACGCTCCGTTCACCGCTATCAGTCCAAGACTGCTACTGTAATCGGACTCTCCGTTTACCTGGCACAGGTTCGCCCAAATAAACAGTTAAATTCCAACGCAAAGTCGCCTGTCTTCGGCCACGTCACAACCTCGTGACAGTATGCTGAAGCAAAGTGTTTCGGAAAAAATGTCTGGACAGATGACATTTTCAAAAGTTGCTTGATTTGAGCTATTTTTCCTCCTAAGCTAAACCAGCTAGTGTTTTATAACATGGTGACTTCTTACAGCATAATGTTTACAATACTGCCTGTCAATACCGTGGCTGTAGCTCAAACACATAAATTTATAAATGGCCTCAAACTTAAAATTTGTTGACAGTAAAGCCCATTGAAAAATCAATATTTAAAAAACCCCATCTTCGATTTTTTTTTAAATCTCATAAAACGTTCCTCACAGATGATAGAAAGAAAATAAAAATATATTGCATTATTTTATTTGCAGCGATGATATTATGCGTGGAAGATCCAGCTTTTCGAGCCCGCACTTAGGCGATAAACGCATGAGAAATCCGGTTTTAAAAAGTGCACGTTATTGGCAATCAAATGAAGGGGAGGGCTGCGTGAAAGAAGGAGACTGGTTGACAAGAGTCCGGTGTGCTGCTGTGTTGCAAGGCAAAGTTTGTTGCCATGGTGATCCAGTTGATGGAAAATCGACTGAGATGATGAATGCACTTATGGCTACTTTTGCTTGCAGTCTCAAGCTTCACTGCTTCTTTATTCCGTGTGCTATGCATTATGTACAGGTTGAGGATTTCAACTACGCTGTTTGATTCTGTTAGGTATGCCTCAGTGGTTCCTCTCACGAGCCTATTCCCATTTAAGTGTTCTGAATCAAAACGTTAAAAGCAGATAACTGTAATAGCTGCCTCATGTAACCGAGGTGAGCAACTGAGGTGCCAAAAAAGTCGAGGATCTCAAGCCTCGGCTTGAAACGGCAAATTGAGGTATTTCAGAAGGGCGCGTTTAAAACAGTCATTCCCTTTTACCAAGTCTGCTTTTCCTCTGTAAATGTGGTCCTGTTCCAGCAACTAAGAAGCTCAATACCATTTTTTCTAGCCCGATTTTTCATGCGTGTATCGCCTAAGTGCATGCTCGAAAGCTGGAATTTTCACTCGTAATATTGTTGCTGCAAATAAAATAATGCAATATGTTTTTTGAATATTCTTTTTCTGTCATCTGTGAGGAGGGTTTTATGAGACTTTAAGAAAAATCGAAGATGGGGTTTTTTAAATATTGATTTTTCAATAGGCTTTACTGTCGACGAATTTGAAAGTTTGAGGCCATTTATAAAATTATGTGTTTGAGTTACAGCCATGGTATTGACTGGCATTATTGTAAACATTATGTTGTAAGAAGTCACAAAGTTTTAAAAAAACTAGCTGGTTTAGCTTAGGAGGAAAAATATCTCAAATCAAGCAACTTTTAAAAATGTCATCTGTTCAGACATTTTTCCAGACACTTTGCTTCAGCATACAAACTTGAAGCAATGCTTCTTGACTCTTCGTTATGCATACATTTACTAGAAAAAAATCATCTTCATCAAGCTAATATACGTGTTTTTATATCGTCGTTAACTTTCGATTAGAGATGAAATTGGTCCCTCTGTACAAAGTAAGTTCAATATTTTTTTTCTCCCAAGCTATGCAGTTATTAAAAAATGAGGTGTGCTTTCGAGCTACAGGATGGTATGTACAAAAATATAATGTAAACAATCAAATCTAAAATATCAACTATTAGACTCGTATCGATCTCTCATGGAATCACCCCAATTCTAACACGGATGCTGATGCCACAATTTCTGTGAAATGATCTCTATAACGATATTCTGCTAAAACAGATTGGTTGCTTTTGTTTATGAGAGTATCTTCATACGTTTGAGTGTTCTGCATACCAAGTAGAGGCACTTCCTACATGACAGTGCTGAACTACTCGATTGTCATGGTATCATGGCTGCGGGGTTGTGTATTGTAAATGGAGAGGCACAGTGCAAGTTCTGAGAATGTGTGGCTTTGGTGTTTTTCTAGGCTGAATGCTTTTTCCTTGACCATGGTGATGTCGACTGTGTGCCGGTCAACAAGCTCCAGAAGCTGGATCCCAAGTTTCTAAAGGTTCCATTACAGGTTTGTATGTGCTATTTCAATTAACACCTATGCTTTATGAATGGGTGATATCTTACCTGTATGAATGGAGATGGAGCATGGGGTTAGAAATGTAACACACACCTGCTAATTGTCACATACTATGATGATGGGATTAAAAAAAAAAAGGCAGTGAAAGTGCCGGTAAATGATTTACATTCTGTGGACGAGCCAACTTTCCCAATGCTGGGCCAGGTTTGGGTGGGCAGCCCTTTCTTTTTGGCTCAGAAAGGCCAAAAATAACGGAAAAAATATTGAGGAGGGGAAACTTCCATAAAAAGGGGCGTCTGCAGGCATCCGGAGAACTTCACATGAAATACAAAAATTACAAGTTCTAATGGAGGCATTTCAGTCAGCAGTGCCTTGTGTGACAAAGCTGCGACTGGGAAAAATAAATAAAAGGAAACGGTAGTGATCGTGTACGGCTGAGCCCACATGTGCACCTGTGTGTGCATTCTTTTGAGCAGCGTTTGGTAGAAGCAAATGCCGCAGTAGCAAACTACTGCGGCATTTGCTTCAGCGGGCACGTTACTATTTGTGTGCGTGTGTGAAGCCCCGCCGCGGTGGTCTAGTGGCTAAGGTCCTCTGCTGCTGACCCGCAGGTCGCGGGTTCGAATCCCGGCTGCGGCGGCTGCATTTCCGATGGAGGCGGAAATGGTGTAGGCCCGTGTGCTCAGATTTGGGTGCACGTTAAAGAACCCCAGGTGGTCGAAATTTTCGGAGCCCTCCACTACGGCATCTCTCATAATCATATGGTGGTTTTGGAATGTTAAACCCCACATATCGATCAATTGTGTGTGTGAATTTTCTCAGAAAGAGCCTGATGTAACATGAGGTTGGCATCTGCTAGAGCGCTGTGATGACACTTTAGTGCACATTAAGCTATTCTTAAGCATTTGCTAGCCTAAGATGTAACACAGGTATTTTGTTGAAACATTCATCAGTAGGCACAAGTCTTGGAAAGAAAATGTGGAACAAGAAACACAGCCAAATGCACTACACATTCATGTTCGGTGCCTGCGATGGAATGCGAGCAACACGTGCGACTGGTTCTTTCGGAAACCAATGCGGCTGCAATTCCTTTTTCTGCTGTAAGATGGGCGCCACCGTGAAGTGACTCCCCAGCAATGCGACGTTATCTGGTCGCCTCAAGGGGTGGAGTTGCACCTCCTAAATGTTCTGGCTCGGTGGGCCATGGCCAAAGAAGGTGTGTGAAATGCTATAGTGGCCATGCCTCAACATATTGTTATCCTGTCTAGAGCTGTAGCACCATGAAGATTTTTTTTTTGTCAAGAATTGGGACTTGCAGCAAGAAATGTACTTCGGGAAGAACAATCAAGACGTACAATCAAGACTTGCATATTTGCATCCGCAGGGTGGTGCAGTGGTTAGGGTGCTCGGCTGGTAACCCGAACGTCGCAGGTTCACTTCAGGCCGTAACGGTCGTATTCTGATGGAGGTGAAGTGTTAGAAGCCCGTGTACAAATGCGATGTCAGTGCACGTTAAAGAACACCACCAGATAATCGAACTTTCCGGAGTCTTTCACTACGAGCATATCGTGGTTTTGGGACAGAAAACGCCCCATATTATCTGCATATTCGCATCTATGTGTGTGGCTGGCTGCTTATATGTAGTGATTGGTTGTGGCCCTTTCAGGTTGTTCACTGCCGGTTGGACCAGTTGGGCCACTTTGCTGATAGCGAGGAGGCAAACATGCTTTTGAATGAATTTCTTGTTGGAAAGTGTCTGATTGCTCAAGTTATGGCGAGGTGAGAATCCTTTTTATTTTTTTTCCTTTTAAATGAACTTATGGTGGGCTGTTGCAGTGAAGTAGCAGACACATTAATGCAATTACGCTGTGCATTGTTTTCAGTGATGAAGTCGTGTCAACATGGCTAAAGCATGTTTGACACATTAAGGAAACAACTGGGGGGCTGCAGCTCATTTTTTCGGTGGGAACGATTTAAATATACCTGATGATGAGTTGAGCGTGCCCTGTGACAAATATCATTTTCAGAAAAAGTGATAATTCGAGCCAGTCTAAGTTGACTTGTGATGCTTTCGATATTTGAATCAAGTCCATAGTAAAGCACTATTGAATAACCCTTTGCAGATGTTTGTAAAGACCCTTTGGAAGTACTTTGGGTTCATTTGCTGTTTCTACTGGTAATTTATCACTCTAGCTCCTGCATGTTATCAATGACATGTGCCATGGTAGAGGCATTCGAGTTTGGCAGCTTTAAAATACATGAAAAACATAGCAGGCTAATCAGAAAGTTTAGTTTGAATTATCGAGTCCTCTGCGTTTAACTCTGCCAAGCTATCCAAGACACCCTTATTGTCTGTTTGTATTTGTGTACTATCATACACGTGAGCCAAGGGTATCTGTAAATAAAAAAAATAAACACGGCACAAATACCCGCTACCTGTTTGTCTTAGGTGTGCGCTAGGCTACTTCGACACAGTTAAATGCCTTCAATAGAAGCACTAATGTAACAGACATTTGCATATAAGTAAGACCAGTGTGCCTATATTGAAATAGAGCTGATTAAAAATAGAGAACATGGTACTTCATTTACGACAGACACCATGTGTAACATACAGGAATGTCACAATTTATTTAAAAGTAAAAATAGTTTCAGCATTGGGTGTAGGTTGCGTTGCTCATTCGTATTGACTACACCACTGTGCGAAGGAAGGCCTTGAACCTGGCTCCAAAACCTTAGCCAGAAGAGTTAGGTTGGCTGAAAACTCTGAAGAATTGTTCATTTGCATGACCCTTGGCATGGCAGGGGCTGCATTTACGTAAAATGGGTCAGAAGCCAACTATATTGTTGAAAACATTTTCTTTTTGGAAGGAACTATACTGGCACTATAGCCTAGTTCGTCTCCGTTCTTTTTTTTCACCAGCATGCTCCTATCAACTGAAGTTAAAGTTAGTGATTGTCATTGGTGTTAGTGATTGTCATTGGTGTAGGTGAGGCTTGCACAATCATGCTGCGGTGTTTTTTCCTGCTGACAGGCAACCTGACGTAATAGCGACATTCTATGATACGACAACTGCTGAGGATGTGAATCTCAATGCTCTGCTGCTGAATCGTCTTCAGACTCCAACACTGCCAGGGCCTGAACAGATCACGCGAGTGCTGCTCAGTCACATCGACCTGGAAGGAAATCTCTATGTGCAGCCCCGGGGGCCCGGCCTCAACTACGTGAATCAGTTCATGCACGTTATTGGCAATCACATAAAGGTGAGGGCTGCATGAAAAAAGGAGACTGGTTGACAGGAGTCCTGGTGTTGATGGCAAACCGACTGAAATGATGAAGGCACTTGTGGCTACTTTTGCTTGCAGTCTCAAGCTTCAGTGCTTCTTTATTCCGTGTGCTATGCATTATATACAGGTTGAGGATTTCAACTACGCTCTTTTATTCTGTTAGGTCGAGTTCTGTTCCAATCGGTGTAAAAGCGATTCTTGAGCAAGACTTATGGGCGAGCATTGCCGCTTGTGGGCTTTGCTCTCATGCGTGGTGAGATGTTTCACGGAAGCTGTGAACTGATCGTAGCTGACGGTGATGTAGGTATGCTGTAGATAGTATTCAACACTGCGTGGGGTTATAGAAGCTCAGAATAGCATTGGCTATTGTAGGGCTGTTCGACATAAAATAAATTTTGTTCAATTCCTTAATTTCTGACCAGACCAGCTGCGTCATGATGAATAACCGTATTCACTCGCGTAATGAACGCACTTTCTTTTTTAAAAAGTCGGAGCAAATTTGGGGGTGCGTTTATCTTGGGGCCAAATTTTAAAAAACCTTTTCGGGATTAGTAAAAAATGCAGTAATGCAGAAAAAAAAGTAGGATTGCTTAGCCTTTTGCGATTGACATACGCGCACACTGTTTGGAAAGAGCTTCTTTGTTGCACTTCACTCATTTTCTGTGGCTGATGGTGCTATCCTCTGCAAGCTGTCTTCGCGTTGCCTGCGCACGCCATAAAAGCATTTTGTGGCTATATTTTCTTGCAATCATTTAACTGCAACAGTGGTATCTGCTGTAATCTCGAGGGGCACCCAGAAGTGTGCATTACGACACTGCGACACACTTCGCCAACTTCGCGGCAACCTAGCAAGATGACCGCGATGACGCCGTTCATGTTGTAGCAAGTAACCAACATTGCAGCAAGCTACTCCTGAAGCATGAAAACAAACTGTTAATAACAAGATGAACGACAAAATGCGGCCACCGACTCGCTTTCACATGAGAAGTTCCTGTGCGTGCGGAGAACAAGAAAAGCGAGAATTGGGAGTGCTGCCATGTTGCAGAAATAGCCACGATCTCTTCTGGGCGACAAGCGTCTTTTTCTGGTTTTCCAAAAACCTGCTGATGCGATAGCGACGAATGACCTTTCGCGACAGCAAATTCTGTCGTCGCTCAAAAATCGCTTGCACGTCATTGGGCCTTCAAGTTTCGTATTTGCAGGAAAGTGAACTTCAATTGACGCGGGCAGTTTTGTGACCTTCGCTTGCTGTGTGCTTATCAGCTGCGACGTCTCTACACTGCACTGTTCGTGAACCCCCCTGTGGGGCACAGATAAAAAAGACGGGGAGGATGTGCTGAGCACAGATAGAAAGACAATAAGGCAGGAGGAAAAGGGTGAAGGGGGGAGGGAGCTTGCTGAGGTGACCGAGGGGGGTCGGTATAATAATAAAAAACAGAAGCGATCCAACAGTGTAAGGAGACACCAGGCATCGGTTAGTGGTATTGCTGCGAATGAATGTAGGGGGTGCATTTATTGCGCGAAAAAAAAAAAAAAAATCCAAATTTTGACAACTGAAGTGGTGGTGATTTTCTTATGCAAGTGCATTCATTAAGCGAGTAAATACGGTATTACACCCACGCAGTTTGTCATTTATTGTGACTTGACGGTGTTATCAAGTCCTGCTGTTGCCAAAATTAAGCTGGTATTGGCCATGGCCTTGGGGTGATCTTGTGATGAATGAGAACCTTTGGCAGCGAAAGCATTAATTTTAATCTGCACTGTGAAAATGTACCTTTCCTATCGTGTGTGGTAAATGATTTGAGCTTAGTCACTGCGAAGAGAGTCTGGTACTTTAACTGTTTCGAAACTTGTATGGCAAATAGAAATTTGTAATTTCAGTTTGCTCCTTAAATCAATACAAATTGTTGTATCCTACTTGTCTCAGTTTCAGTGTGAGCACAGTATAAATTGCACATTCTTGTAGCCACCCAGCAGGATGTTGACTGCACCAGGAAGAGAGAGAGAGATTTATCGCTATGATACGAAGTATGGTGGTAATGACATGAGCAAGTCTCTTTGGCCATACCACCATAAATATGTTACAAATCACTTGATGTCACCAAAACCAGGTAGCCTAACAGTGACTCCTTTTTTTTCTGTTCACACGCAGCAAAATAACCACAAGCCTGCAGCGACGCTTTGCCAGTCAAAGCTGTATGCCTGCAGGCAGGAACACACGGCCACTTTCTGTCGTGCCCTTCTCCTCTCTGTTGCACGCACAAAGGGCGACAAGGTAAACAGCACGTCACGTTTCACACAGCTATGCAGTACCCGCCTCAGTAGCTTAACGCCTATGCTACTGTGCTGCTGAGTGCAGTGGCACAAGTTCAATTCCCAGCGTTGGTGGGGCTTTATAGGGAAAGTAGCGAAATGCAAAAATGCTTGCTTACCTGTATTTAGCTGTGCCTGAAAGAAACCCAAATGGTCTGAAATTGGCCTACTCGCAGCATGTCTCGTATAGTAGAACCCGTTTGTAAAACGAACTCGAAAGTGCCACGTCAAGTGGTCATTATACTGTATTTCTTTGTATATGAACTCCCCTTTAAAAGGATGCGCTAAGCCACCAAACCGTTTTTTTTTCTGCTTACATTTTTTTTAATCAGTGCTAATAACTCCCCCAGTGACAGGTTAGGCCTCATCGCATCGTGTGTTGAGCAATGCTAATTGTGCGCTCACGGGGGAATTAAACCACTTTCATAATGAACTCTCACTGTTTTTTTTATCTCACTGGCCATGCACGACACTGCAGTGGTGAACTTGTCAACGCAGCATGACGCGCTTTTTCCGCCGTCGCAAAGTGCAGTCCCAACCACACAGAAGTCATTATGATTGACAAGTGTCTGTCGTTACTGAAAGGCAGAAGAGCTATTACGCCACATTTGGGCATCAGTGACTTGAGCGTTGCAGTGAACTTTTATGTGAGAAAAAGTTTTCTGCATTTATGGACTCTTGCATTCACGGGCATTGTTCTGTTAATCGTGGCAGTTGTAGATGCTGGAAATGGCATCGAATAAGCTTGCTGTGCGAAAGTGAGTCTCCATGCTGCCTTTTACGAAAGTGTGCGACCTCGCTTGTAGCATCTGAAGTCTGCGTGCAGTGCTTGCTGCGATCTACAATATTTTCATCGCAAGTGAATTGCAGATGGTGCACAATTGCATGCTTCTCGCATGCTTTCAAATGCCTCTTTTATTTATTACAGTGGTACCTCGATTGTATGACCCACGCAAAACCGTCATATAATCAGGGCTTCGTATAATCGAAAAACTGAGATTATAGGCAGTGACACTCAGTCTTGTACAAACAAACTGCCTAAATAAGCCATGAAACGACCTTGTGCCCCTTCAAGAAAGGTAGATTAAATTATTTTCTTGCCAGTGGCAGCTAATCGCAGCATTACTCAGTTAGAAGAGGTGCGAGCGAATCTTTATTTAAAAAAAGATCATATACAACACGCATATTTCTACCGATAAACAAAGTCCGAAAATTGCCTGCACGTGAAGATGAAACCGAAACTGTGTTGCTCACAGGCTCTCGGCAGAAAAGTCACACACACAGTGTCATCGCTGTTACATAATGGCGACGGACCACGTGTTTGCGTAGAATGTCTTCATGAGTGACTGAGTTGTGCGCGTTGTGATTTGTTAGCTTGTGAAGGGCAACTAGTGATGTCCCACCTTTATTGTGATTGTTGACGTCAAGCGGAAGTAATTTTGCACGGTGTAAACAGCTGCATCGTGACCTTATGCGTGCGCAAACCTGTGGCTGCAAGTATGAAAAATGAAGGAGATCAGCTGTATGTTAACCAAAAAAAAGTTTTCACGGACCAAAAACGTGAAATTATCGGCTTTTCAGCCGGCTGAAATTGCTCTATGTGGATAGATTTTGACTACGTAAAAACCCTGGATGTGTACGCATGCAATCGAGGCTTATGTAGAAGCGCATGATCTTCCAGGAGAATAAATTTTTCATTCCAAGACGTCATCCTGTCTCTCTGCTTTTTCAATCATCAACCTAGGGGTACGCAAGTTCAAATATTGCACTCCTGAATATTTGACGACATTTGATTCTAGTAAAGCTGCTTTTTGCTTTCGGATAGAATATAAAAGTCATCGTGTAAGATGCAGGGCCGGCCTAAAACTGCATCGCATAATCAAGATTTTTAATACATTACTTCTGTGGGGATTTTGCCGGGACCGAACAGATTGGTTGTAAAATGTGGGTCGTTGCAAAACCGGGCGACGTATAATCAATGTTCCACTGTATACACTGATGGGCTAGTTGGTGAGCAGTGATGTTTGGAGAAGCAGTGCTCAGAAGGACGTAAACACGCTGAATTTAAAATGCTGCTAACACTGCGCATAAGTTTACATTATTTTATATGTGCGTGTTTGTGTCCTTTTGTGTGCTGCTTCTTGGAAGAGCCTGTTTCACCTTTTTTTTTATTTCATTTCGTTTGCACCATACTTATACTGCGACCGTGCCAGAAGTGTTCGTTTTAAAAGTAAGAGGCTTTCAAAACTGTTTGCTATAGTATGTGGATGCAGTTTCAGAGAGTAAGTGGCATGGGAAAATCATAAGTACACTGAAATATGGTCATTATAACTGATAGGTCGTTATGAGTGGGTTCTACTGTAATAGTATTGTGTGTTTTGCCTCGGTGAAATTCGTAAGATATAAATTTTATGAAGGAATGTTATCCTGCTCAATAAAATTTGATTTAGTTGTAGGAGCCTGCTATTAATAGGGCCTTACTAAGTATTCATTCTGGCATTCATTTGTATTTAATAAACACTGGAAGCACTTTTACCACTCTGTTATTGTACCTGAGGAACATTTATTTATTCAGTGAGCTGCCTTTTGTAGAGGTTCATGAATGACTCATTGCCCTGTGTGCGATATCTGAGATGTTTTTCTCATGAGGAACTTTCTTCCTCGTATAAACAGCGAGCAGTGCTGCATCATGATGTTACATTTTCTTTGTTTTTGCTTTTCTCACAACATCCTGTTTTCCAAAAGGTTTCTGTGAGGCTTGTAGACACTGGCAAGGAGATGCTGGTGTGTGCGTCTGACCTTTATGACCTGGATGTCTTTGGGGAAGGCTTTGTTAGCTACCCACATCAGGTGTGTGGCTGTGCATGCATCTCCCATTTGCTGTTGTTGTTGTGCAGAACCTGTACTTAAAAAAAATTACACGATTGTGATGTGACTGTTAGTCATTTCACCCCTTGTCAGTGATAATCGATGTTAATCTGTGATAATCATCACGGTCTTGGCGATAGATATCTGGTACCATCGCCGGACCAACAGGCATGTGCTGTTGTTACTTTACCTGGTCAAACGCGCCTTGCAAGGGAGCCGAAGCGGCACCCAACCCTCTGGTGAAAAAAGTAAAGAGGTGGGACTTGGGAGGGGGGGGGGGTAGCGGTAAGAAACTGTCTTAGCTTTGGTTCGAACCTGTGCAGAAAATGCTGTTTAAGCTACCTTCGTTTCAGTACGCGGGTGCCGTGCAGAAAAGCGTATTAAGATTTGGAAGGGGTTGTTAGTGCTAGTCACGGGATGCTGCACATTTTGTTCAGTTACTCATGTGTTTGTATGCCACATAATTCAGAGTACCAGTATAGTCACTGACGTCTAAATAAGCTACTGGCAATGATTTGGAGCAGTATATGACATTTCCGCTTCCTTAAAAAAAAAAACTATATTGTACGCCATTTTTTTTCGTCATCCCTACTTTTTAGTTTTACGAATCTCCCGAATTTCATGGTTGTGAGCTTTGCACATCTATATTTAAATTCTCAGAATCTGCCAAATGATGTGACAGGTGCAGCAAATGCTAATATAGACTGTATAATTGTTTGCTGAGTGGGGTTGTTCAAAATGCTACTTATATTGAAATAGCACTGCTCATGTTCGCACTTCACAATTTATATGAAGTTGAATGGTTTATACATACTTTTTTTCTAAATGTAAGCCTTTTTTTATACTGCTTCAAATTTGGTATTTTATGATAAAAAATGCATGCCTTTTCCCCATAACCTGCTTCAAATTTTGATTTGAGTGCTCCAAAATTAACATTTTTCTGCTCCGAAAATTGCTCCAAATTGTATTTTGGCTGTTGCACCCCTGTTAATGCTAAAATAATGTTTCTACCAGCACTCTTATACAATTTTCCATTTGTAACATTTGCTTGGGGAATTTGGGCAAGGCTCTTGCTGTTTCCTAGTGCTCTAGTAAAACGTATTATAACACAACCATATACTTTGTGTTAAATTACCATTTCTTGCTTGTGTATTCTTTTTAAAAATTTTTTTTCTTCAGTTTTCTTTTTTTGTTTTTTGCTGCATCTCTTTATCAAATGCTTCTTTTGATTTTATGTGTTTCCTTTCTTTGTTCTTTCTGTAACAGAAGTGCACTTTTACTAAGGCCTAGAGCTGTTCGCGGGCACTGAGAAATAGATAACTCAATGTTGTACCTGAGTCAATACAGCGTAGCAAAGTCTTCGAAATATACAGTGGGTCGCCCTCTCCAGAGCCTTCTAGTGGGTTGGCCTCTTCAGAAAACAAGAGCAGCTTGTGCAAAGAGTCGGTCCCCACCTTGACTGTGGCTGTCATGCATTGTCGCCGAGTGCCCGTCAATAAACGTCTTAAGAACAGTTTCAATTGAATAGGAAGCAAATTAATTGCTTTTATATCTGGTTGTTCTTGGAGTATGTCTTTAAGGCAGTTTTTCATCTTCACTCTTTAGCCAGTGCCCGGAGGGGCAGATTCATTCTAGAGCAGAAGTTACTCTACCATATTTACTCGAAAATAGGTCGAGCATGAATATAGTTTGACCCATGTTTTTTTTTGAATTTAGAAATAGAAAAATTAAAATGTACCACACCTTTATTTACGTTGCTTAGTGCGCTATCGCTACCGGTGCCGTCATCGTGTGAGATGTGCAAAATGTTGTCGTTATCGGAATCTTCACAAGCATCCGCGGCTTCCCAAACAATGTGGTCCTCACTGTCATCTCTGCCGATTTCTGGGTCGTTAAAAGCACGTTGTCATTTATTGCACGCAAACAGATCGTCCTGCTGCTTTCTCCAATTCTTAATCAACTTCTAATTTACACAGAACTTGCACTGCGCGGCACAATTGCTCGAGTCCTTGGCAAAAAGTATCACTTGGCACTTGTAGTCACCTGTGTAGCTCTGCCGACGTAACATCGTCGCAATCGCACACAAGCAAATAGTGGTGGTGGTTACAAAAAGGCGCATAATTTCTGCAGCTCGGTACAGCGCTTGAAGCAAATATGAACCGTCACCCCATCACGCCGATCATACAACGAACAAAACATGAGGCAGCGAGGCCACAGCGAGGCCTCAGGCCAGTGCCGGTGTGGCTGTGAGCCGGAAAGCAGTACTGACGCATGGCTAGCGGGCTAGGGACATCACGGCCTATACCTAGGGAGATCGTGGATTTAATCATAAGCATGGTGGAGCGGCAACATTTTGCAGGGGCTTTCAAAAAGCGGTACATCGTTATTGCATCAATAACGTTTTTTTCTCAATTGCTTTGGGAGTAGGAAAGGAGGGGGTCTTTATTTCAGATTTTATGGTATGTAATGTGCGCATGCAGCAGGAACTGCTTGAACAGCAAGCGCAGCAGTTGAAAACCATAAGCTCGACGCTTTTGGTTGGTTTAATCATGAATATAGGTAGAGATTCTCTGGTCGTAATTATAGGTCCATTGCTGGTTATGAACAACATCTTCAGAAAAAAATGATCGACCTATATTTGAATAAATATGGTAATATGTGTGTTTGTTAGTATATCTGTGAGAAAGAATAAGGTATATTTAAATTAGTTGGTGCTTGTTGCTTGAATGTTTCTGTTGTACTGCAGGCCATCATCTGTCGTCTAGCAGATGTTGCACCTGGTAATTGGACTCCAAAAATGACATCTCTTCTGAGAAATGCGATTCCTGCGGACCTCGACCTGCTGTTCAAGGTGTGGGATTGTGCTGAATTTTCGCTTGCGTTTGGCTCACGGCATCAGTCCAGAGTGTAGCTTCCAATTTTTCTTCCGACTTTCTGTGAAGTTGACAACCTTGAACTTGTTTAATTGTGGTGCGTGGTCAACCTTCACAAAAAACAATATATATATATATATATATATATATATATATATATATATATATATATATATATATATATATTGTAAGATGGCATCCAGTACCTTCAAGACTCTTCTTTATTGACTCGAGTATGTGCCCCACAACATAAACTGGAGTGGTGATGATGAGTATGTACAAATGAAAAGATGGAACGAGTAATGATGCTCACACTTATTTTCCCCGCGCACTTGATCGGCCGGCCCGGCCGAGACTTAGGCGGGAAAGGTACGGCGAACAAAAGGTTCAAGGCATGAAACGTGAACTATCTCGGATGCACGGTAACGACGGTTCGAGGAACCCTCGACGGGAGTGAAAAGGTAATTGACAGGAGATGTTCGTTCACTAACAGCGTAAGGTCCGAGAAAGCGTGACTGAAACTTTTCACACAATCCGGGTGTACGAACAGGCGTCCAAAGCAGTACTTCATCTCCAGGACGGAAGGTGACATCTCAACGAAAGCTGTCATATCGTTGCTTGCGGTCTAGTTGACTGGCCTCCGTGTTGAGTTGAGCACGTTGCCGTGCGTCAGTGAGCCTGCAGACGAAATTTTCTGGCGTAGTCGTCGACGTTTTTGTCGTTACATTGAAGAAAGAGGCGTCAATAGTGAATGTCGGCGCACGACCATAGACGAGGAAAAAAGGTGAATACCCGGTGGTTCGTTGAACAGCGGTGTTGTGTGCAAACGTTACGAACGGCAAGATTTTGTCCCAGTTATCGTGGTTCGGTCCGATGTACATGGATATCATGTCGATTAGAGGTCGGTGGAATCGCTCTGTCAGGCCATTTGTCTGCGGGTGGTAAGTGGATGTGGTCTTATGAACTGTGCCACAAGTTTTTAGAATTTCGTCAAGAATTGTCGACATGAAGGCCTTGCCCTGGTCACTCAACGTGCGAGGTGCACCATGACGCAACACAATGGCTTCTAAAAAGAAGGCGGCAACGTCTGAGGCGGAGCTAGTGCGTAGAGGAGCGGTCTCCGCGTATCGTGTGAGGTGGTCAACGGCTGTGACGATCCAGCGGTGGCCCGCTGGCGTTACGGGAAGTGGTTTGACGAGGTCTATTCCGACAACCACAAAAGGTGTATCGGGACATGGAATGGGTTGTAATAATCCAGCAGGAGCAGAAGTTGGTCGTTTCCGGCATTGACACAGTGCACAAGAAGCGACATAATTAGCCACAAAGGTAGAAAGACCAGGCCAGAAGAAACGGCTCCTAACGCGGTTGTAGGTCTTCTGAAATCCCAAGTGTCCAGCTGATGGATTGTCGTGGAGTGCTTTGAGAACTTGTTTTCGCAGTGAACGGGGAAGTACTGGCACCCACTGATGCCCATCCGCATTGTAAGTATAGCGCTGCAGGACATTGTTGTCCAGCTTGAAAAAAATTAGGACGCCATACGATGGCCCTCCCCTTCGTTGCGCAGATGGAGTTCCTATTCAGCCTTCAAGTGTTTGTACAGTCCGCGTTTTCATAGATGGCATCCTTCACCACATTCAGTTTCTTGTACTTTCTTTGTGCACTCACACGGTCATTTTAGGATGGGACTTCCTTACTTCGGCACCGGCTTTCATATCGTGTCGTCAGCAAGTAATTCATACGTCTGCTACTGAGAGTTCATCTGATGTCGATCCATACAGCTTCCGTTTCGTTGCTGCCGCGGATTGTTTCATTTTGCCAGGAGATGAACGAATTCTCACGATCGTTTCGGATACTATAGTTAACGGTGACGTGTTCATTGGTTCATCAGTTCCTGCCAAACCTGCGGGGCTTACCATTGTACCTGGCCTTATGCGGTTTAACGACCGTAAGGCACTGGTCACCGCCTTGAACCCAACTTCATCTCCAGTGATGCTACCCCAGGGCACTGCTGTGAGCTGCTTCGCTGACAGCGAGCCTTTTTCGCTGGTTCCTCTTCACACAGAATCACCGCCTTCGTCTCCTACAACCGATACCAAGGCAACCACTGCTGCTTTAAATGCTACCATAAGTCCTCACCTCACTGCTGAGCAAAAGAGAGACCTCTTAGACCTTCTCCAAAAGCACAGCTTTTCGTTCGACGTACATTCCAAAGTTTTGGGCCGCACATCTGTTGCAGAGCACAGCATCGAAACCGAAGGCAGCTCCATTGTGCGCCGTCGCCCATACCTGTTCGGCGGAATGGCAAATTATTGAGGAAAACGTCGCTGACATGCTCAAACGGGATATTATTCGACCTTGATCTAGCTCTTGGTCGTCTTCTGTGGTGTTGCTCGGAAAAAGGATGGCTCTGTCCGCTTTTGTGTTGATTACAGAGCGCTAAATAAGATAACGAAAAAAGATGTGTATTCGTTGCCACGCATAGATGATGCCCTAGACTACTTACAAGGCGCAGAATATTTCTCCAGCCTTGACCTTCGATCCGGGTATTGGCAAATACCTATGCGCGAAGCAGACAAGGAGAAAACAGCGTTCGCAACGCCTGATGGGCTTTACGAGTTCAACGTCATGCCTTTTGGCTTATGCAATGCTCCAGCAATATTCGAGCGCATGATAGATACTGTCTTACGTGGTCTAAAGTGGAAAACCTGCTTATGCTATTTGGAAGACATCGTAATTTATTCTTCTACTTTTCCTCAGCACCTTAAGCGTTTGGACGAAGTTCTTACGTGCATTTCAAACGCTGGGCTTCAGCTCAATACAAAGAAGTGCCACTTCGCCAGCAAGGAGCATCAAAGTATTCGGTCACCTTGTCAGCAAAAATAAGTGTGAGCATCATTACTCGTTCTATCTTTTCATTTGTACATACTCATCATCATCACTCCAGTTTAGGTTGTGGGGCACATACTCGAGTCAATAAAGAAGAGTCTTGAGGGTACTGGACGCCATCTTACAAGTGGTGGAGGTGCTGCCCGATTCCCGCGTCCTTCGTGCTCTCGGACAACCCCAGCGTCTTCTCGAGCACATCCCTGTAGCTCCGTTCAGGCCGCCGTTCAATTAACGCGGTTTTACAGCACTTGCATGGGACTGTTTGGGCTTTTCTTGTTTCGTTTTCATGATTACTTTTGTTCTTGGACATGCTGTGAATGGGTCCAAAGCAAACTGTGGCCTGAAAAGAAGTATTGCAGTGTCCTTTTTAGCTGAACAAAAAAAATTTGAAGTGAATCTAAACATTTTGCTCGTATTGTGTTTGTGCATGCAGGTTGTTAGGCCAGCAAAAGATGGAGCGCCACCTTTGGTCGCCATATTCAGACGCATTGAACCGAACAACGAACTGGTGCCTGTCAACTTATCTTTCATGACGGCTTTGGAGTCTTCTTCCAAGTGAGCACCAAGAAATATTTGACAAAGAGGGGGCCAACTAATGAGGGACTTGAAATGGCAGACTCTTGAGTTTATCCTAGTTTTTGCATACTTTGTGGCTTGTTGAAAGTTACTGATGTAAAGTGATTGTGTAAAAATTTTAAAGAATTTAACATTCCAGAAATATGCATAAAATGTGCAGTTGAACTTTATTATAACAGCAAGCCTTATTCAAAATTAACTATTTAAGTAATTTTTATAGGACAACGGTACTAATCAGGCACTTGAAAGCCTCTCAGGATTTGTATGAAATGATTAGTTCTTTGAGCTCGTACATGATCATCATGTCAACACGAATTAGTTTACCATTCATTTGTTTTGATTTAGGGCATATGTTACTGCAGGAGGGTATGAATGCAGGTGATTGAGTTTTCTGAGACTGATAGATTGTGTGTAATTATTTAGTCCACGTTCTACAATGACATGAGCCTGTGTACCAGTGTGTAACAGTGGGCGAAAATTCAGTGGCCATTACATGATTAACTGCTGGATATGATTGTTTGGAGCATGGGTTGTTCTTGTGGCTGCAGTGCAGTCTACCTGATTGCAGCATCTCAACTTGGCAAAATAATAAAAAATCTGCAGACTTTTTAGCACCTTCTCTACTGAATCAAAGCATTTCTTGGCTTTTACTGAGTGTTTCTTTATATTCTGAAGCCCGCTTGGTTACATTGTTTTGTGGCCAACATTCTAGCTGAACTAACTGACTTGTTTAGCAAGGAAAGACTGAAGAAAGGGGGAAAAAAACGGTAGTTATGGTATATATTGAGCCAAAGGGGAAATTTGCTGGACTTTTGCCGAGCCACAAAAATACAGTTTCGAAGAAGGTCTTTGAAACCCAAGATTCGGGCAAAATTTAAGATAATTGAACTTTTAATAAAGTGGCCTATTTTTGTGCTGCTTTACGATTGTTATGATATTTGTAATTTTAGCTTTTCCCTTTCAAACAGCTTTATCCAAATATGTTTATATGTATTGGTGGTTGTGCACCAACTCCTATAAGAACTGGATTTTTGTGCACTCACTCTATTTGCAAACCTGTCAACATCGCAAACAAAATTTAAGCCTTTGTTTCATAAGCATTGAACGGTAGTTAAGTTCAGGTGCCTAGAACATTTTAGCGGCGCTCATTGGTGCGTCCTTTCCATAGGTTGGCACTTTGAGAGACTATTTACTCATACTCACTCACTACAACTTCTCAGCCTTGGCACTCACTCGCATTCATACCCACGTCTGATGACGCTCAAAGGTGCTCACTCGCGTTCACACTCATGACTACTCACACTCATGAGTACTCACTCGTGTTCACACTCACAACTACTCACACTCATGAGTACTAACTCGCGTTCATACTCAGGACTACTCACACTCGTGGGCACTCACTCACTTTACACTCATGACTACTTACACCCATCAGATCACTCACTTCATACTCACGACTACTTACACTGACAGGCGCTCACGCATGTTTATACTCACGCCAACTCACACTCATAGGCCCTCACTCACATTTATACTCACGACTACTCACACTCATGTGTACTCACTCATGTTCATACTTACAACTAACACTCATGAATACTCACTCTCGTTCATACTCACACCTACTCACACTCGTTGGTCCTTACTCACGACTACTCACACTCATAATTACTCACTCACGTTCACACTCATATCCACTCACACTCATGAGTATTCACTCACGCTCATACTCACGCCTACTCATACAGTCACTCATTGACGTTCATACTTTTGCCTACGCACAGTCATGATTAGAGACCGGATTATAGGTAAATGCCTATTTTGTTCCTTGCATTCCTATCGAGTCATTTTGATATATGAGCATGAATTAGAGGTTAAGAACGGCTTTTATGATGTTTTTATAGTGCCTAAAAACGCCTATTTTTGGTGTTTGTGCCTAAATGCCTGTAAGTGCCTATAAATGCCTATTTTCTAAATGAGCCCCTATATGAGCGCTATTCAAGCCCAAATTTTGTTTTTGAGCGTGGTGTGAAACCGTTATTCATGTAAAAAAGGCAACATTGATATTTCCAAACACTATAAGGTTCAAAGAAGACAAAGCTGACATGCTGCGAGTGATGGGAGGAGGAGCATCTCAGTGCACGTCTCAGCGTCTGCAGGGGAAGGAAAAGAGAGAATTAAAGATGGGGTAAGAAAATAAAAGTGACGTGTATGGGTGAGGACGCGGCGACCGCCTTCAGCTGTCCATTGTCCTGTTCATTGTCCTGAAAGAACTGAAGAACCGCCTTGAAATCCTTCGTGTTGCAGTGGGAAATAAACAGCAGGTTTTTCTGTGCAGCCATGGGTAGGTGGAGAATGAATTAAAAACCATGGAGGGCCACTCCTGGAATGCTCATGTTGATTCAGTGCCGGTGAAGGTCGCCAATTCTAATTTATGCAGCGAAGCCTGAGACAGGTGCCGGCATGTTTACAATCAACGGTGTATTTAGCATACATTCACCGTATGCTTGGATACGCATGTTCGGTATGAGGTCCCTTGTCATACGTCTTCAAGTGACAAACATGAAAAATACAGAACAGGGCTTCAAGGTTTGTCCTAAGCCATTACTCAAAAATGACAGCTGTAACAACATGAAAAATGAACTAGGATGGGTATTGCTATTTCGGGTCGAATTAAACTGCAGTTAAACCCCCGATGTCAAGCATTTCATTGTAAAATTTGATTCGAAAATGAATGTACTTAAACAGTGCTTTTCGTGCAATGGTAATTAGGATTCTAGAATGTTGTATCAGATTTAATTTTTATATTAATTCATTTTGTTAGTTTCATGATTGAATGAATTGGCTTAAAGAGAGAACAAAGTGTGTTGTGTCAATGAAGGTGTGTTTTCCTTGACATTGTAACCCATCTGCTACAGCGCCTTCGGGTAAAAATGTGATGTGCACGCGTCTTTTGTTTTGTTTGTAATTTACTCTTTAGGCGTCCCTGTTTAGGTGACACAATAAGTTTTACTTCGACACTAGAAGTTCTTGCATGCGCAATGAAAAGCATTCTACCATGGTGATTTTTCAAATTGGTTCGCTACGAGCCACAAGACCATGATGCGAAGAGGCCAACTTGAATCCCTTGCCTCGCGCCCCATGTAGGTATCGGGAGCTTAATTCCTTCCCTGCTCTCTTCGGTATCAGGGCTGGACGATCTCATGATGCGTACGCACAAGGCACAACATGCGTAAGCAAGGTCATGTGCGCATGACATGCCCCAGCCTACTCGCGCACGTACGCCATTGATGTTGTGTCGTTTCGGCGTTCTCTGTTGTGTATTGTGGGGTCTCGGCGAGGCGAACGAGCGCATAGCCACGCCACGCTCTTGGAGTGAACGGACACAGCAGACGCGGTCGGTACAAAGCACACAACATACATGCATTTATTAACTAATTTCGACGACGATATCGTGTGCCGAATGTTACATCAACTTTAATTAACACGCTACCATACAAACAACATAATGCAGTGACACACTAAACACACAATAACATAATAAACACACACTAACACACCCAACACACAAACACATACCCAAGGCGGCGTCGCCAACGCCCGACTTTCCACGTGGGACCCCGGTGCGAAGCCCGCGGTGCCGAGCACCGGGGACCCACGCTACAGACAACCGTTCACGGCAGCCGCCACGCGCAGAAGAGGCTCGCTCAACTCTCGCCCACCACCAAGGCGTGCCTTCCGCCAGGGGCCACCGCCGGCGCTACCACTCTACCAACAGTGGTACTCAAAGCGAACACAACGCCATCTATCGCCCGGCGGTGGTCACCACCGAAATAAAGCCTTGGGGCGAGACACGTGCACCACGCAGCGCAGACAACTTACAGGGGGGGTGTCAGCACCCCCACAGTATTACCTGTTTGTGTGGGATAGATCAGTCAGTACCGTACTTTTGGAGAAGCTGACATCGATCATTAACGTGACCCTGATACATGACCTTGCTCCGCTGAAACTGCGGTCAGAGACGGCGCACCAAACACAAGCTAAGCGTTGTCAGGGTTGGCGAAGGCACGATGCAGGAACGACGAGAAGACGAACACAAGCAAAAGGGGTGGTAGTAGTAGTAGTAGTAGTAGTAGTAGTAGTAGTAGTAGTAGTAGTAGTAGTAGTAGTAGTAGTAGTAGTAGTAGTACAGTTGAGCCCACATATAATGGCCCCACTTAAAATGAACTTTCGCTTAAAACGAACAATATCCTCGTGACCGTGAAAATATACATTGGTTCAATGGCACAAAATCGCACTTACAACGAACGTCTCTGGGCGCCGCTGATCGGTTACAGCGAACGGAGTCAGCGGTCTGCCGACTTCCCTGGAAACCAATTTCGACCACCGATCAGGCATGGGCGAGGTGCCCATACATTCTTATTGTTAAACGCCGACCCTGCCTCCGCGACCCTCTAGTTGCCGCTCTTCCCAACCCATGGAGGAAGGAAAGCTGTTTCCTTCCTCCATGCCCCGACTGCTTTTTGTTACGCACGCCTTCGTCCTTTGTACCCGCTACTCTGAGCACCCCGCATCACCAGGCGAGGCCCGTGTTTTCACACTGCCACCGATCTTTCGAAGACCAGTCGGCCATCTACCCCGTTTTTGATCGCTGGTACTGTCGTTGACGTCGCCGGCCTGGAGGAATCAGGCGAACAGCACTTTGAGATAGGTAATAGTGCACTTGAAGTTGCAAAATAGTACGTCTGTTTACGACAGGTAGTACCTGCGGAGCCAAACCATGAGATTGAAGTAACGGAAAGATTAAGACGGGTGAAGCATATTCAGCAAGCATTCTTAAATTATCAATGATAGATTGCCACTATTCCTCAAGCGGAAGGTATATAACAGCTACATCTTACCTGTACTTATACAGTGCAGTCCACTTATAACGATACCACATATAACGATATATCGGTTATAACGATGGGTCGACCTAA